TGGGGCCATTATTCTGTCTCCCACATGGGATTAGGATGTGGACATCTCTGGGGCCATTATTCTGTCTCCCACATGGGATTAGGACGTGGACATCTTTGGGACCATTATTCTGTCTCCCACATGGGATTAGGATGTGGACATCTTCGGGGCCATTATTCTGTGTCCCACATGGGATTAGGATGTGGCCATAATCAGGGCCATTATTCTGTCTGCCACATGGGATTAGGACGTGGACATCCTTGGGGCCATTATTCTGTCTCCCACATGGGATTAGGATGTGGACATCTTTGGGGCCATTATTCTGCCTCCCTATGGGGTTAGGATGTGGATATCTTTGGGGCCATTATTCTGTCTCCCACATGGGATTAGGACGTGGACGTCTTTGGGGCCATTATTCTGTCTACCACATGGGATTAGGATGTGGACATCTTTGGGGCCATTATTCTGTCTCCCACATGGGGATTAGGATGTGGACGTCTTTGGGGCCATTATTCTGTCTCCCACATGGGATTAGGATGTGGACGTCTTTGGGGCCATTATTCTGTCTCCCACATGGGATTAGGATGTGGACGTCTTTGGGGCCATTATTCTGTCTGCCACATGGGATTAGGACATGGACATAATCAGGGCCATTATTCTGTCTCCCACATGGGATTAGGACGTGGACATCTTTGCAGGACATTATTCTGTCTCCCACATGGGATTAGGACGTGGACATAATCAGGGCCATTATTCTGTCTCCCACATGGGATTAGGATGTGGACATCTTTGGGGCCATTATTCTGTCTCCCACATGGGATTAGGACGTGGACATCTTCGGGGCCATTATTCTGTCTCCCACATGGGATTAGGACGTGGACATCTTTGCAGGACATTATTCTGTCTCTGCCACATGGGATTAGGACGTGGACGTCTTTGCGGGACATTATTCTGTCTCCCACTATCAGTGAGGGATTCCATCACCACAGATGCTTAAACGTCCACTGAGACGGTGGCTGACAGGTGGTCTAGAGCCTACAGGGGACTTCAGGGCTTGGAGCCGAGAGACAGCGGAGTCTGGAATGGATCTGACGATGAGATGGCAACTCTCTCCTTCGTCATGGGCGTTCCATGTCCCTCCTGCAAACCCCGGCCAGCCCCCTGCTTCCGAGTTTCAGGGGAGATTTGATGATGGAGCAGAAGCAACCTTCTGGAACCTTCCACCCCTGATCTTTTGATTCACAGGTCAAAGCTTGGGGAGGAGATGGGGCCAGGATCTTGGTGGGGAGAAGCGTCTAAAACACAGCAAGGAAGAAAAAGCGTGGAATCCCCTGGGCC